TTTCTTCTGTACGTGTGTTGACAGTGAACTCCTCCTAAACGGCTGAACCGATTTTGATGAAATTTTTTGTGTGTGTTCAAGTGGATTGAAGGAAGGTTTAGATTCACAATTTGGCCCACTGGATAATGTCTTTTTATATAATTTTTTATTTTTTGGTTTCCATGTACATTTATTTTAGAAATTTAAAATTTATTCATGCTTACTTTGATTTATTTAAAAAGTTTAAAATCTCTATAATGAATCGTAAAACTGCCGTTGCATAGCTTAAATGCATTTAAATTCCGCAGTATAATTATAGGTGAGCCAATTTTTAATCTTAAGTTATGTGGTGGTATTCCTGGTAAATCCAGCGAATTCAAAAATTCCACAGGATAGTTGAACGATTCATTTTAGAGTTTAAACTTTTTAAACAAATCAAAGTAAGAATGAATAACTTTTAAATGTCTAATATAAATGGACCAAATTGTGAATCTAAACCATCCTTGAATTCACTTGAACACACACAAAAAAGAAAAATTATATATATAAAGATATAAATAACGTACAAAAAACAATGCCACGTCTTCGTGGACAAGGAGAAAATATTGGTCGAGCGACTCTGAATTCACAATTACTCCAGAACCGTCGGTTAAATGGATCGGCAGAAAACAATGAGAATATAAGAAACCAGGATACAATCACACGTCTTAATGAAAGTCAAGAGCAACGCAAATAACGCCTTCGAGCTAATGCATTGAGACAAAGACTGGCCCGTCCACGAGTCACCGACATATTCAGAACACGTGAACAACAGCGTTTGCAAGTGTATCGGGCATTGACACGTTCATCATTTCATTACCTTGCGTTTGAATATGAGTCGGTTATCGACTATTCGTCACATTCACGAATTGTAATCGGTGCTATGAGCAAACAGTGCCAACACTGTCATACACTCAAATACAAAGGTGAATCGGCCGGTTTCTGCTGCACATCTGGAAAAGTTGTATTGCCACCATTGAATTTGTCGCCAAAACTATTGAAAGCACTATTGGCTGGAGCTACATCTCAATCTAAATTGTTTTTTCGTAAAATTCGCAAATTCAATTCGTGCTTTTAAATGACATCATTTGGAACAACAAAAATCGTTCAGAATGAGATTGGTCGCAATTTTCAATCAACGCTTAAGATTCAGGGCCAAGTGTATCACCAAATTGGTTTTTTAATGCCGATGCCCAATAATGATCCCAAATTTCTGCAAATCTACTTCATGGGTAATGAGAAGCAGCAAAGAAACGCACGTTGCCAGTACAACCATATCGAGCAGATGGAGGAGCAAGAAATTGTGGGTATTTTAGAACCGTTTTTAAAAAATCACAACCAGTTGGTCCAGTTGTTCAATACCGTTTCAAACCGACTGCTAAACGACAACTATACAATCGTCATAAAAGCAGACAAAGTACCATCTGGGCAGCATGCGGGCCGATATAATGCACCGACTATTAATGAAGTTGCAGTTGTTATGGTTGGCGACGCATTTGAACGTCAAGATATATGAATACAACGCAGAGATAACACATTGCATACGATTGATGACAGTTATCGCTCTTACGACGCTTTGCAATATCCATTGATATTCTTTTTTCATTTAAAATGTAGTGCTTATAAGGATTTGAAAATATTTGTAACATAAGTAATGCATGTGGACTTTTTGTAGTTCAAAAAAAAAAATCAATTCAAAATAATTTTCGTATTAAAATGCTAAAGGTTAAGTTGAATAACAACAAATATTATAACTCAGCTGAGCCAGGAAAATTAATTGCAAGGGGAAACAACGTTCGCCGGGTCAGCTAGTAGAATATAATAATCAAAGTATAATAAACGAAATAATAAGTACTAGTAAGTGGTAAAAATAATAATAAACCAAAGGTGATTCCAGCATCCAATATTCTTCTACCCAAGCTTGAAGAGTTTTGAAATTGAAAAACTTTTTTTTAATGTCTAGTTTCTTCTGTAGAGAATACTTAGAAACAAATTTTGAGTCGGATTGATAAGAGAAATAGTTTATTTAAAAAAACAGGAAGGCAAAAGTATTGCATTTATTAATAAGTTCGAATGGTTTTAAAATGTGTAACTTTCTCTATCTGACATTTTAAGTAATGTGCATTCAAAAAGGCTTTCTTAGATAATCGGGGACGATTTGCGAACTTCTTATCTTTCATCTATTCTGCCATAATAAAATTTAAAAAAAATCGAGGAGTTAACTAAATGACGAAATTCTGAACATAGTTAAACCGAACACATTCAACAATCTTTAGCATTGCAGTAGTGCAATAATTTTATGTTTGATATATTGACTAAATATTAGAGTGTGGTTTGGAATAATTCAATCGACTATTTAATTAATCAGCCATTTCATTATCACACATCTTAGAGAGAGAGAGAGAGAGAGAGAGAGAGGAAAAAAAACTAATTAGACAAAAGTTGAAAAAAGGAGATACATGCACCCTCTTTCAATTGGACCGATTTTAGCCTTCTTGAGATAATGAAAAATGTAGTTAATAGCAAATGTTAAAAAAGATACAATTAATTTAGAAGAAGTTTTTAAAATTAAATGGTAATTTTATATACCCCATTAGCATTTTTTTTGTATTTTAATGAAGACAGTTTCTTAACTTACTCCTTCAAAGCTAAAGAGTCTTTCTTTACCACCGAGTTCAGGCATTACAGGAGTTATGTATCAAAAATCTGCTATAGATCAACCAAAAAAGTCTTTTAAACTATAAGCATTTTTCGTCCGACTGAATTCATTTATTAAAAAGTACAGGTAATAGTGTCGCTATTGATATTATATTATATATATGTTTTATATGTTACAATTGTACTACATCATAAATATATTATAAATATATTATTTAGTTGAATTACATATAATTTAGACGTATTAAATTATATTCTTTTTTTTTACTTACCAAACTGGTATAGAACACACAAATGACACATACAATAGGAGTTATTGTATGTACTGCTACGCCTGTTACTTGATTAAAGGCCAGAGCTGGTACATATATAACAATCGATAGATAGCAAATCTAATGGAAGTTGTTTCTTATTAGTTCTAATAAATTATAGATAACTAACTACAAATAAATTAATTATTTATATTAGTTAATTCATTGTTTATATTTTTAAAAAATTACTGAGAATATTATTAGTTAAATAGTTTAAAAACTTACATTCATTATTGTAAACATAAGTGAACCAAACATTCGAGAACTTCTGTTAAAGCGAATTTCCAAGTACTAAAAATAAAAAGATTAAATAAAAACATTTGATATTATAAAAATAAATTAATAAATAATTTAAAAATATTAAATACAAATATTAAACGAATGTATACAAATAACTTACTTTTTAAATAATAATTAAATAAATAAATATACACATTTATATACCTAAAAATTTTATTAAGAATTTACTCAAATTTAAATTAAAATTTTTTAATATAATAATTTATATATTAATACTGAGATAATGCTGCCAAATCTTAAAAAAATAAACTGAGCTCTAATTTTGGTGTACAAAAAATAAATATTTAAAAAAAAAAACTTCTGTTGTGATGTTTCCGCCCGGGTTCGAACCGGGGACCTTGTGCGTGTGAAGCACACGTGATAACCACTACACTACGGAAACGTTGAGAACAGTTTGTCAAAATAAAAATTTGTGTGGCTTCTGTATATTTCATTCTCAACGATTACACAGTGAGTAAAAATATTTTGAACTATTTGCACAATCTGTAAAAATAATTTGCAGTGCATGACGAAATTTAAGTGTGAAAGATAACAAATTTCAATGAGCTGTGAAAAATTTGCATGAATAAATAAATATTTCATATAAAGCGACAATGGGTAAATAAATAGGCATTTCAATAAATTAATAAAATATTAATAACAATAATTCATTTATTTTAACATTTACTTGACATAAAATTATTGATTGATTTACATGCACTAACATTTGCACAAATCAATTTTAATTGGCAAGTAATTGATTAACAAACATAAATTTGTATGTTTTCAGTTTAAATTATTTAATTTATTTAATTAAGTTGTTAACTGTTTTTAAACGAAACCATATTTAAGTATAAAAAGAAATTTTATTTAAAAGTTAGACGGATTCGAATAGCAAAGAAAATACAAAGACAAAACTTTAGTTAATTTATTGAGTTATTCAGCCTGTTTCGAGTATTGCCAAGTACTCATCATCAGTGGTAGTGGTAGGAAATATTTGAATTTCTTTTTAATTAGCTTATAGTCCATATATTATTTTTTTGGACTGCAAGTGACAGGTTTAGAACTCATATCTGTCAAATTAGAAGCGATCACTAATCGTGTTTTTTTATAAGAAGCCAAGGCTGCCCAAGTTCCAGTTATTTTATTTACATTGATATGTTTATTATAATAAATCGATGAGTATTTTTGACTTTAAAGGATCTAAATAAAAAACAAAAACACTAAAGTGATCTGAGACCAATTAAATTTAAGTGGAAAGCATATGCTATATAGTATAGGGAAGCATATGTATGTATACAGATACATAATATATGTATAATAATATTAATAAGAGTCCCAATAATTTTTTGTTCATGTTTATATATCATTAGCCATTAAAGTTGGAGAAGCTTTAAATATGTATGGCAGTATATAGAAATATATAGAATTAGAAGAATCTGAAAATATCAGTTTGTTAGACTAATATTAGGTATAAGCAAATCTGAACCGATCGATACCATTTTTACCAAAAATATTTTATCTTCCATAACAAACATCTAAATTCTAAATAGATAATGAATATATAAAAATATAAAGTTTATTCTAAGGAATATATGTGTCTGAATCGGCAACTTATATGAAATGCTATATTTTAATCTAAACTGAAATTAATAAAATTTTGTATGTTCTCTCATATAAATATAAGTACATTCTGTGCAAAATTTTACTTGAGTATTTTTATTAAAAATAGTGAAAATTATTTGATTATTTAGTTTTTATGGCAGCTATAGAATATAGTAATACGTTTTATTCAAGTCCAACCAAGTTATGCGTAAATTACGAATTTAGAGTATAAATATTAGAAAATAAAAAAATTTTTTAACAAAAACCTGTGTCTGACTTAACAGTTTATATGAAAGCTAAACTTTAACCTGAATCAATATGTAAGTTTATATATTCTCCCATATAAATATAGGTACATTCTGTACCAAAATTGATTTGAATATCTTTATTAAAAATTGTAAAAATTCATATCAGATTTTTTAGTTTATATGAACCTTGTAACAAGACCATGCCATATAGAATATAGTAGTCCAATTTTACCCAATTCAAATTATTAAGGTCCAAGTACAAAAGCATGTGAGCAAAATTTTATTAGAATAATTCAAAAACAGACACAGTAGTTTGGGATAAAACAGACAAATATACTGGGCCAAATGAACTCATCTAATCAAACTGTTCAAAAATATACGTACGATATTTCCTTCAATGCGATCCAAATCGAATATACCCTTTTTAAACTTTCTTATGTAAAGAATTCAAACACTGAATAGGCAATTACATATATAATTTAATCATGTATCTCAGTAATATCCCTTCATCAACATATTGTTTTTTCTTTTCAAGGTATCTAATACTTTTCACAGGTGACTTTTCGGTCATTCAATAATTTATAAATTCTTATGACTGTCCATTATCTGCGACTGCTTTTCAGCTTTCGGATTTTTACTCAACTTAGTTTTAAATTTTTTTTAAACAAATAAAAATAGCAACTGCAATCTAACTTTAATTTATTAAAAAAAATAGCAGTAAGTATTAACTGTGAAAATAAAATTTTATGCCCTCATAATAAAAATCATTGTTTCTTAAAAAATTTCTTTAAATAGAATAGATTACTTTTATTGTTTTAATAATTTTTTTATTTATTTACTTTATATAACATAGTTAAACTGCAAATTGCTATACTTACATTGTTAACATAAGATTATTAGGACAATAAACTTGTCGTTCATGTGATGGAAATTCACTTACCTCATACGTGGAAGTAATATTTAGGTTATGAAAAACAGGTAGATAGAACACACCCATCACGACTCCCATAGCAAGTACACCAAGTGCAACATACGTATATTGTATGCCATATGAATAGACTTCTGTGGGTAATCCTAGTAGTGTTATGCCTGATACAAAACTAGCCACAAGTGATAAAGCTATAGGCAATACGAGCATATTACGACCACCCATCAGGTAGTCCGATTCCGAAAGGGACTTTTTCATAAAACCGAAATAAATTCCAATTAAAATGCACATCACAAACATAGCTATGAACACGACATAGTCCAGCCATGAAAAACGCTGTAAACTTGTCAATATATTATCTATATCCGACATAATGTTGGTTTGCACTTATAATAGTCAAGGCTTTTAAAGAAAATAGGACGATTTTTTTTTATTACTGGAGATAGCTGACCTCTGACAAATGCAAATGATTATTTACAAATACATTAAAGTTTTCTTTATGACGACAATGACACTTCATCTGATTCGAGTGCATTAAATAACACTTCACTTAATCAACCGTCGAGATAAACTGAATATCGTTAAGAATTTTTCGTTCAAATGACCGACTGTTGCTTAATCCGTACAATCTTATCTTAAATGTACTGCATCTCAGCGCTGCAATTTTCAAACTCATCGACAATAGCGAATAAGACTTCACTTAGGGATTCTCGTACACAATAAGCAGTCAAATTACATTTAATGTTGCCACTTCCAAACATATTAATATATTTAGATACATATCTACGACATAAAAGAAATAACTAGGTGAATTATTATATAAATGTAAAAATAGACTAAAGTATTTTAACGATCATTTAACGAATACTAAAAATTTCATTAGTCTCGCGTTAAGTTCATTACAAAAGTTCACTGGGTAAGAATATTGACAAGATCCCTAAAAAGTTCGTATGGAGTGTTGGGAACTGTACACTGTTTTAGTGTTTCCGATTTATCACTTTACTTTTTAGTATTTTATATTCGCAAACACTAAATTGATTTGAAAATATATGTTCATATCAGCAAATGAAATATTCAATTTTCCAGCAAGGTTTTTTTAGCCGGCATGGACCTTTGCCCACTATCAG